TTAAACATTGAAAATTAAAAATTAAAATAGAAAATTAAAAATTGAAAATTAAAAATTTAAAATTAAAAATTAAAAATCATTAAAAATTAAAATTAAACATTGAAAATTAAAAATTAAAAATTGAAAATTAAAAATTGAAAATTAAAAATTGAAAATTAAAAATTGAAAATAATTACAAATTAAAAATTACAGGGCACAAGAAGAATTCTTTATTTTTTTTTTTCTCACACTTTATTTAGCCTGCACTACTCACCGAGCACTCACACTTTACAACACGGTGCAGGAAACCTCCCCCTACCCCCAAGGTGGTTCTTTGGTTAGAAAAACAAAAGGATTTTTAAAAAATTCACCATCCAAAGAGTGAAATAAAGCCCAGCCTAGCTGCACTCTAAAAAACGTTACACAAATATGGCTTCAATTTTCAGGTTGTTGGTTTTTTTTTTCAAGTAATTCCTCTACAGGAGAGCTTAAACTAAAAATGCAGCAGGAAATTGGGAATGCTGGGGTTTGGAGAACAAAACCATGGAGGAGAGCATCCCACGGGATTGCTGGAATTGCAGGGATCCCAAGAAGATCCTGCAGGAGCTCAGGAGAAATGGGGATAATCCCAGGGCAGAAAGGAGAAATGGGGATAATCCCAGCTCAAACAAAGGAGAAATGGGGATAATCCCAGGGCAGAAAGGAGAAATGGGGATAATCCCAGCTCAAACAAAGGAGAAATGGGGATAATCCCAGCTCAAACAAAGGAGAAATGGGGATAATCCCAGGGCAGAAAGGAGAAATGGGGATAATCCCAGCTCAAACAAAGGAGAAATGGGGATAATCCCAGCTCAAACAAAGGAGAAATGGGGATAATCCCAGCTCAAACAAAGGAGAAATGGGGATAATCCCAGGGCAGAAAGGAGAAATGGGGATAATCCCAGCTCAAACAAAGGAGAAATGGGGATAATCCCAGCTCAAACAAAGGAGAAATGGGGATAATCCCAGCTCAAACAAAGGAGAAATGGGGATAATCCCAGGGCAGAAAGGAGAAATGGGGATAATCCCAGCTCAAACAAAGGAGAAATGGGGATAATCCCAGCTCAAACAAAGGAGAAATGGGGATAATCCCAGCTCAAACAAAGGAGAAATGGGGATAATCCCAGCTCAAACAAAGGAGAAATGGGGATAATCCCAGCTCAAAGCAGGAGAAATGGGGATAATCCCAGGGCAGAAAGGAGAAATGGGGATAATCCCAGGGCAGAAAGGAGAAATGGGGATAATCCCAGCTCAAAGCAGGAGAAATGGGGATAATCCCAGGGCAGAAAGGAGAAATGGGGATAATCCCAGCTCAAACAAAGGAGAAATGGGGATAATCCCAGGGCAGAAAGGAGAAATGGGGATAATCCCAGCTCAAAGCAGGAGAAATGGGGATAATCCCAGCTCAAAGCAGGAGAAATGGGGATAATCCCAGCTCAAAGCAGGAGAAATGGGGATAATCCCAGCTCAAAGCAGGAGAAATGGGGATAATCCCTGGTCAGAAAGGAGGAGAAATGGGGATAATCCCAGCTCAAACAGAAAGGAGGAGTGTGGATAATTGAGATCAAACACAAACAGAAGAAATGTGGATAATCCCAGCTCAAACACAAAACAGAAATGTGGATAACCTCAGCTCAAAGCAGGAGAAATGGGGATAATCCCAGGTCAGAAAGGAGGAGAAATGTGGATAACTGAGATCAAACACAGGAGAAATGTGGATAATTCCAGCTCAAACAAAGCAGAAATGGGGATAATCCCAGCTCAAAGCAGGAGAAATGGGGATAATCCCAGCTCAAACACAAAGCAGGAGTGTGGATAATCCCAGCTCTCACCAAATTCCAATAAATACCTGTGAGCTCCGAGCGGGGAGCAGCCCCACGTGCGAGACAATAAATAAGAAATATTGCATTTTCTATCGGCCTGTTCGGGAGTCAGTCTGGAATGTCGTGGGCCAGAGAGGCCCTGGCCAGGCCCGGATCCTGAGGGGCCCAGATCCAAGGGGAGCCCAGCTAGGCCCGGCTCTTGGGGGGCCCAGCTAGGCCTGGATCCTGAGGGGCCCAAATCCAAGGGAGGCCTGGCTAGGCCCGGCTCTTGGGGGGCCCAAATCCAAGGGGGGCCTGGCTAGGCCCAGCTCTTGGGGAGCCAAGTTAGGCCCAGATCTTGGGGGGCCCAGATCCAAGGGGGGCCCAGCTAGGCCCGGCTCTCGGTGGGCCCAGCTAGGCCCAGATCCTGAGGGGCCCAAATCCAAGGGGAGTCCAGCTAGGCCCGGCTCTCGGGGGCCCCAAATCCAAGGGAGGCCTGGCTAGGCCCAGATCCAAGGGGGGCCCAGCAAGGCCCAGCTCTCGGTGGTGGGCCCAGATCCAAGGGAGGCCTGGCTAGGCCCGGCTCTCGGGGGGCCCAGCTAGGCCCGGATCCAAGGAGAGGCCCCAAATCCAAGGGGAGCCCAGCTAGGCCCGGCTTTTGGTGGGCCCAAATCCAAGGGGGGGCCTGGCTAGGCCCAGTTCCAGGGTGGGCCCAGCTCCTGAGGGGAGCCCAGCCAGGCCCAGGTGCCAGGCCTGCCTAGGCAGGCAGAGCCTCGAGCTCTTTGGGTTTCAGCAGTTTCTTGGCGGCGATGATGGTGTTTTTCATCAGCATGGCCACGGTCATGGGCCCCACACCGCCGGGCACCGGGGTGATGTAACTCGCCTTCTTCCTCACCCCTGAGGGGAAAAGCTCGGCTTAAAGGCCAGGCAAGGATTCCCAGCCTAAAGCCACGCAGGTTCTGTCAGGATTAACACTTTAGGATGGGCTGCAGGTGGTTTTTTTTGTGTGGGCCAGGGGGGCACGGCCCGATGTGTCTGGTTAAAGGAGCTTAACTGCAAAGGCAAGGTGGGGAAAAGCGCCAAGCCAGGCCTGGAAGCACAGGGGTCCAAAACAGCAAAAAAGACAGGCCTAAAAGCACAAAAATCAAAGCCTTAAAGTGTCAAAAAGCCAGGCATTGGAGCCTCAGAAAGTCAGGCCTGGGAGCCGCAGAAAGCCGGGCCTAAAAGCACCAAAAAACTGGGATTAAAAGCACCAAAAAGCTGGGATTAAAAGCACCAAGGCCCAAAAGCATCAAAAAGCCAGGCCCAAAAGCACCAAGGCCTAAAAGCACCAAAAAGCCGGGCCTAAAAGCACCAAAAAGCCAGGATTAAAAGCACCAAGTGCTAAAAGCACCAAAAAGCTGGGCCCAAAAGCGCCAAGGGCTAAAAGCACCACAAAGCCGGGCCCAAAAGCACCAAAAAGCCGGGATTAAAAGCACCAAGGCCCAAAAGCATCAAAAAGCCAGGCCCAAAAGCACCAAGGCCTAAAAGCACCAAAAAGCTGGGCCTAAAAGCACCAAAAAGCCGGGCCTAAAAGCACCAAAAAGCCAGGATTAAAAGCACCAAGTGCTAAAAGCACCAAAAAGCTGGGCCCAAAAGCGCCAAGGGCTAAAAGCACCACAAAACCGGGATTAAAAGCACCAAAAAGCCGGGCCTAAAAGCACCAAAAAACCGGGATTAAAAGCACCAAGGCCTCAAAGCTGATTTGCAGCCCAGAAATGTCAAACCCCAGGCCAGAGGCAGAGGAAAAGGCTCAGAGCAGAGGCCCAGGAGGCTCCTCTGGACCATCCCCACAGAACATCCCAGGACACGGATTCACCCCGAGCTCGGTGACACCAGCCAGGCTTTGTCCCCCCCCATCCTCAGCGCCCAAAAAAGCTGCTCCAGAGCCTCTCCTCACCTTCAAAATCCACGTCCCCCACCAGCCTGGGCTTGGCGGTGACGGGATCCTGCACCCTGGTGATGCCCACGTCGATCACGGCGGCGCCTTCCTTGATCATGTCGGCCGTGATCAGGTTGGGGATGCCTGAAAAACAAAAATACACAAAAAAACACAAACCTCAGAGGTGTTTGACATCCCCTGATCCCACTCACCCCACCTTCCCAGGATGTTCCAACCCTCCTGGGCCTCCCTGCCTCCCAAAATAACCGGATTCAAGAATTTTAAGGGATTATTTTTAAGAAAAAAAACACCAAATCCCCCCACAGCGGCACAACTGGTGTTCAGCTCGGATATCTCCACTGGAAGAGGGGAAATTTAGGTTGGATTTCTGGGAGGAATCTCTGCCTGGGAGGGTGGGAGGCCCTGGGAAGAGGAGTTCCATCCCTGGAAGTGTCCAAGGGCTGGAACAGGATGATCTTTAAGCCCAAAATTCCGTGATTTCGTGTTCCCTGATAATCTCTCAGCGCAGAACAGGAATCCTCAGGGAGTTCTGGCAGAGAGCCAGGAGCACAACCCCTGGAAATCTTTCCCTTATTTCAGCTCTGTGGCTTCTTATTTCACATTTTCCAGCCCTCCCCAGGCTGGAGGAGCTGGGGCAGTGCCCAAAGCCAGCCCAGCCCAGCTGGGCACGGCTCTGGCTGTGCCAGGGAGGGCCACCAGAAACCTCCTGGGGCTATCCCAGCCTGCCAGGGTGGGGTGAGTGTCTGCTTCTGCCAGATATCGGGGGGGGATCCACCCCCAGCCCGGCTTTATCGCCGTCACTGGATCTCCCTCTGCTCCCCCACCACTCCTCAGCTTTCCAGAACTTTCCAGAACTTTCCCTCCATTCCCCATTTCCAGCTGGGACAGGGGGGTTTGGGCTGGGTTTTGGGAAAGGTTCAACCCCACCCCCCGAGGGAATTTGGGGTGTCCCTGCAGGGTCCCCAGTGATAATTTGGGGTGTCCCTGCAGGGTCCCCAGTGATAATTTGGGGTGTCCCTGCAGGACCAGGGGCTGGATCCACGATCCTGGTGCTCCCTGCCAGGTTTTGTTTCCCATTCCAGAGGCAGAACCCCAAACTGGGAACTTTTTGGCTCAACCCCAGCTCCAAGAGTCCCCCACGCTCAGCCCCGAGAGCCCCCCAGGACATTCCATGGCCAGGATTCCCGGCAGGAACACCCCCAGGCCTGCTGAGGCCTCCTCACCTGCAGCTGCCACCACGATGTCGGCGCGGATCGTGTGCTGCTTCAGCTGCTCCTTGGGCGTGTAGCGGTGCGAGATCGTCACCGTGGCGTCCCCTGCCGCGACAAAGGGGCAGGAATTCACACACGGCACCCAAAACCGGCCACTCCTCTGCGTCCTCACCTCCCAGACCACCCCTGTGCTCCTCAGGAAGTTCAGGGTGAGCCCCAGGATCAGCCCGTGGAGGGATCTGGGGTGGGACAGGACAGGGAGCTGCCAAAAGAGGCTCAAGGGGATCTTCTGGCTCTCCACAACTCCGTGGTGACAGGAGGGGACAGCCAGGGCAGGGTCAGGATGAGACAAAACAGCCTCCAGCTGTGCCAGGGGAGGTTTAGGCTGGATATCAGGAAAAAATTCATCATGGGAAAGTTGTAAAGTATTGGAAGAAGCCACCCAGGGCAAGGGGGGGAGGCCGCACTCCTGGAAGTGTTCACACGTGGATGTGGGTTGGTGACCACGGCTGCATTTCATGACCTTGCAGACCTTGTCCAACCCTGCCAATCGCGTGATTCTAAGATCAGCTCGAGGATTATCCCACCCTGGGCCAGATCTCTGACCAGGGAACTGCTGGGAGTGCTTTAGGAGGCTGAAGAGTGGTGAGGGTCCTTCCCCGAGGCCACCCCGCTCCTACCTCCAGGCCGCTCGTGGCTGCCGTCGGTGTGGAGCAGCATCGCGATCGGCATCCCCACGTTCTTGGACCTGCCCGCCACCACCACGTTCCTGCCCAGCGTCGGGATTCCTGCAGGGGACAAAGCACACACTCACAGGCTGTCCTGAGCCGGGAGGGACCCGCAGGGATCACTGATCCAACCCTGGGCCCTGCGCGGACACCCCAAAATCCCAACGGGCATTTTTGCTGCTGCGGCAGCTCCCGTTCCCTGGGAATCCTTCCACCGGAGCTGGAATTCCCAGGAATTGCCACAGCAGCTCCCACCTGTCCTCTGGATGATCTCCCAGACACCCCAGGGCGTGGCGGGCAGCATGGAGTCCTGGTCCAGGCACATTCGGCCCACGTTGATCACGTGGAAGCCGTCCACGTCCTTGTGCGGGCTCACGGCGTTGCAGAGCCTGCGCTCGTCGATGTGCTCTGCGGAGGGCAGCGGGCTCTCAGGGACAGCCCAGCGCCCAGCTGGGCTCTGCAGCCCTGAGCCCCAGCTGCAGCGGGGACACAGGGGCCTGGGATGGAGCTCTGAGCCCAAACGGGAGCTGGAATTGTGACCCCAAACGGGAGCTCTGACCCCAAACGGGAGCTCTGACCCCAAACAGGAGCCCTGACCCCAAACAGGAGCTGGAATTGTGACCCCAAACGGGAGCTCTGACCCCAAACGGGAGCCCTGACCCCAAACGGGAGCTCTGACCCCAAACGGGAGCTCTGAGCCCAAACGGGAGCTGGAATTGTGACCCCGAACTGGAATTGTGACCCCAAACTGGAATTGTGACCCCAAACTGGAGCTCTGGCTCCAGGTCCTGAGCTACAATTGCAACCTTGAGCTGGAATTACAATCCCAAGCCCTGAGCTCTGATCCCAAGCCCTGAGCTCTGATCCCAAGCCCTGAGCCCTGATCCCAAGCCCTGAGCTCTGATCCCAAGCCCTGAGCTCTGATCCCAAGCCCTGAGCCCTGATCCCAAACCCTGAGCTGGAACTGTGACCCCAAGCTGGAGCTCTGACCTTGAACCCTGAGCTGGAATTGCAACCCCAGCCTGGAGCTCTGCCCTTGAGCTGCAATTCTGCCCCTGAAGCTCCCCAGCACTCCCAGTTCCAGGCTGCCAGCTCCCAGCACAGGCACTGGGAGCACTGGGAGCACTGAGGGGATTTTCAGGCAGCCCCAAGGCCACACGCAGCCCGAGCTCCCAGCCTGGGAGCCCCACACAGGAATAGATTCCGCGAGAGAACCGAACCCCTGCGGGCAGCTGCTGCTGAGGGGGAGGATCAGGGCAGGATTCCTTCCCCGTGCTGCCCCGACCCTTGGAATCTTTCTGGGAATGCAGGAGGGGGGAGCTGAGCTGCTCACCAGGCAGGGGAAGCTGCACCAGCAGCCCGTCCACGGCTGAGTCGTTGTTGAGTTTGCTGATCAACTCCAGCAGCTCCTCCTCGCTGATGGAGGCTGGCCTGAGGATGGTCTCGCTGCTGATCCCTGCAATCACCAAATCCATGGGTCAGCGAGGCACAAAAGAGAGATTTTTCCAAGTTCTGTGGATTCAAACTGCCCCTGTTTTGCTGCCTGGATAAATCTGGGAGGTGCACGCAAGGATGCTCAGGCTGGGAATTTGGGGTGTCCCTGCAGGGTCCCCAGTGATAATTTGGGGTGTCCCTGCAGGGTCCCCAGTGATAACTTGGGGTGTCTGTGCAGGGTCCCAGGGTGGGAATTTGGGGTGTCTGTGCAGGACCAGGGCTGGGGAGACCTTCCCAAGTCTTGGGATTTGTTGTTGAGGACGATTATAAAGGGCTGGTGGCCTGGGAAATGGTGTTTGGGACCCTCCCAGAGCAAAGGCTGCTACCATGAAAATAAAACCTCACGGCCTGAGAGGCCTCTGGACACAGCTAAAAGGGATGTTTGCCTAAAAATCCCAGCTCCAAAAGCTGCTCCAGATGTTCAGGACCCAGGTTAAACGACACTGCTGTTCCTGACCCCGAGCAGCACCTTGACTGCAGGATGGGAAGGAGTCAGAGGGCAGCGAGGTGGCTGAATAGGGGCAAAGGAAGCCAAAAATCCCCTCCTGTGCATTTTATGGCTCTGGGAAAGCTGGAAAAACCCCAATGCCAGAGCTTGAGCTGCCCTGAAGGACCCAAGGGATCACATTTAACCACACCCCGCTACAACCGGGCAGCCACGAGAGCTCAAATTCTGGGTGAAGGCAAAAACCCAACAGGCAGCTGCATCCCAAAAAGCTTCCAGCATCGAGGAGCCCCAACCAAAGGGCGCTTTCTGGGGAAGGAAAGCTCTCACTTACCCACATCAGCCGCTGCTTTGGTTTTGTTGAGGACATAGGAGTGGCTGGCCGGGTTCTCCCCCACCAGCACCACGCTCAGGTGAGGCCTCCTGTTCCCCGCAGCCACCCACTGCTGCACCTCGTGCCGCGCTTCCTGCCGGATCTGCCGCGCCAGCTTCCTCCCCGAGATCACCACGGCGTCCTCCCTGCAGCGGGGAAGGGTCACCAGAGCCTCGGGGCCACCAGCTGCCAGCCCCAGGCAGTTTGGAGCAGGAAAGCCAGGGGGAAAAGGCTCCATCCCTTGTGTTTTGTTAGGGTTTTTGGCACTTTTGTGCTCTGTCACATCCAGCAGCACGTTTTAGGCTTGGTTACAGCATCAAAGCTGGGAACGAATGAGGCAGAATCAGAATATCCAGAGCTGCAAGGGACCCACTAGGATCACTGATCCAAGTCCTGGCTCCCAAAATCCTGCCCTGGGAGCGCTGTCCAAACATTCCCTGAGCTCCAGCAGCCTCCGTGCCCCTTCCCTGGGGACTGCTCCAAAACTCACCGGGACCTTCCCCTGACACCCGGCTGCCCTGGGCTCCCAGGGAGAGTGAGAAGCACCAGAAGCTCCCAAAGGGGGACAAAGAGTGAGCTCAGAACAGTTTGGAGCAGGGTGGGATGCTCGGGGGGTGTCTGTCCCTGTCACCCCAAGGAATGTTCTGGGGTCCCTGTCCCGCTCATACCAAGGAATAATCAAAGGAGGGGATGCTCTCCTTCCTTCTCACTCAGGGGATCTCTGTCCCTCTCACCCTGAGGGTGATGGGGTCTCTGTCCCTCTCACCCTGAGGGTGATGGGGTCTCTGTCCCTCTCACCCTGAAGAGGATGGAGTGTCTGTCCCTCTCACCCTGAGGGGTGATGGGGTCTCTGTCCCTCTCACCCTGAAGAGGATAGAGTGTCTGTCCCTCTCACCCTGAGGGTGATGGGGTCTCTGTCCCTCTCACCTTGAGGGTGATGTGGTCTGTCCCTCTCACCCTGAGGGTGATGGGGTCTCTGTCCCTCTCACCTTGAGGGTGATGTGGTCTGTCCCTCTCACCCTGAGGGTGATGGGGTCTCTGTCCCTCTCACCCTGAGGGTGATGGGGTCTCTGTCCCTCTCACCCTGGGGATGAGGGGGTCTCTGTCCCTCTCACCCTGAGGGTGATGGGGTCTCTGTCCCTCTCACCCTGGGGATGAGGGGGTCTCTGTCCCTCTCACCCTGAGGGATAATGGGGTGTCTCGGTCCCCCCGGGGCAGCCCCGCACTCCCACGCAAGGCGGCCGCGGGATTTCATCAGCCTGCAGCGCCCAGCGCGGCCTCTGGGGGCCCGCCCGCCCTCACCGCCACCTCCGGGACCCAACGGGCCGCGACCCCGGCCCGGGGGGCGCCCGAACCGGGCCGGGCCTCTCCCCACACAGCCCTCAGCGCTCCGGGACCGTGCGGAGCGCGGTGGGCGCTGCTCCCGCTTCCCTCCCAAGCACCCCCACACACCCCCGCGGTGTCCCCGGCCGTACCGGGCGGCGCTGAGCTGCAGGCGGCGGGCGCGGGGCTCCAGCGCGGCTCGGCTGAGGGCGCGGAGGGGCCGGAGCGCGGCGGCCATGGCGAGGCTGGGCCTCACAGGCGGCGGGAGCGGCGCTGAGGGGAGCGAGGCTCCCGCCTTTATGGAGCCCCTAAGCCCCGCCCGCCCTCCAGCGATAACCAATGGGGTTCAGTGCCAAAAAATGGTTTATTCAGGTTTTTACCTTCCCAAAACGGGATAAAAAACAAAAACATAAACGCCATAAGGTTGGATATTTTGGGTAACTGAAGTCATTTCCACAGCTGCCGCAATGGGCAGAGTGCAGGGGGCTGAGGGGCTGGACAGGACACCAAAGGTGCTCTGGGCTGACCCCCAGCTCCGGGGGGATTCTGAAGCCCTCAGCCCCGCTCAGGTGAGACCGCACCTGGAGGATGTGGAGCTGCTGGGGAGAGCCCAGAGGAACTGGAGACCCTCTGGAGCCGGGCTGGGAGAGCTGGGAATGTTCCCCTGGAGAAGGGAAAGGATCCAGGGAGAGCTCAGAGCCCCTTGCAGGGCCTGAAGGGGCTCCAGGAGAGCTGGGAATGTTCCCCTGGAGAAGGGGAAGGATCCAGGGAGAGCTCAGAGCCCCTTGCAGGGCCTGAAGGGGCTCCAGGAGAGCTGCGGGGGGGAACGGGGAGCACCTAGAGCTGCTCCCAAATCCTGGATTTACCGCGGCCCCTCTCCCGCCCCGCCCCGAGCCCCGCCCTTCATTGACCCCTCAGACTCTCGACCAATCAGATCGCTCGGTCTCGCTGTGACCCCGCCCTCCATTGTTTCATCACAATGCGAAATTATCTTAGTCCCGCCCATCATTGCTGTCCCGCGGCTCCCATTGGCTGTCGCCGAGTGGGCGGGGCTCAGCCGGACTATAAAGAGCGGCGGCGGGCGCGACGGCTCCGACCGGTCCTGGGACAGCGGGGGAAGCGAAGCGGAGCCCAAGGGGAGCGGGGGAGCCCCAGCACCGCCCCCGAGCCCCGGCACCGCC